TGAAGCAACCGCAAACTCAGATCAAAACCGCCTGCTTTCAAAACTGCCAAGAAGCCTTCCCAAATCTCTTGAAATTTGGGGTCTAAGCACAGGTCTGGCACATTCTCTAAGACAAAGCATCGAGGCTGATCCCGGCGCAGGATTTCAGCAGCTTCAAGGAGCAAGTGACCCGATTTGGAATATTATGGCTGACACGGGTCTCCACCTTCACTTCGTGGATGTCACTGCAGATCGGACTCCTTCCAAAACGCTCCTTCACATCCGACGGATCATTGCCTGAAAGAGCGCTTCAAGGACGAGCTACTTCTCGCGGCATTGCTCTGTGACAATGCTGTGTTGCCACTGTACCCCCCAATCGCACAATGCTTGCGAAACTGCCGCCAAACCGCAGCAATCTGATGACAGTCGCAAAGGCCCTGGCAGTCGTCAGGAAGTGGGGGCCTTTGCTTTGCCTTTTCACAAAAAGCCCTCGGGTCATCTGATCGGCCATGGTGAATCTGCTTAGTAGGCTTGTGGCCTGTCTTCTGGTTCACGCACCTTTCGGTAAATCTGGTTCGGGGCTCTCCTGTTCATGTGGAGGGCATGCGATTGAAAAGAAGGGGTCTTAGTATCTTAGTCCTTAGAAGAAGATGTCAAAACATGTCTCGGCTCGACTGGAAGAATCGCGGCAGCTGCCACCATGTTTGTTACATGCGCCAACCAAAACTAGTCCTCACCCACGAAGCGGCGTTGCACTCAACCTCTGGACGTAATCTCACGCTCTCTTCGAAGACTTGCGCCTACCCAGTTCACAGTCGCTCTGTTCATGGGTTGCGTGTTCCATGTCCCTCACCGCCGCCCAACCGCCTCAGTATGTCTTAGTCACAGTCACTCTTAATCTTTTTGGCTGCAGCACTCCTGGCATTAATGCAGTCTTCGCACTTGCAAAAGAATTTCTTGACAACTTTTAGCCTGGCAGCCTAGCCCCTAAATCTACTGGCCAACCCCATGGACAGCGGACAGTCGTGAGAAAACAAACTATCAATCCGTCTGCGTTGCAGCATCTACAACATACACAATGCTCTTGGCCTTGCGGCTCGTGAGATCCACCGATGCGGGCTCTCCCTCACCATCAGCGGACGCCAGCAAGACCCGATTCACTCAGCTGCAGCGCAGCCAGCTCCGGTGGCGTCATGTGAGCCACCACGTCGTCCATGTCTTCTTCCTACGGCTCTGCGTGAAGCTTGAAGGAATAGGGCTCTGCAATTCCCAATCACGAGCAAGAGCAAAAGAAAAGAGCAGTCCTTAGACTCTGCTCAGCTGCTCGAGATGTCTTCAATGCTTCAGCGTCAGCAAGGTCCTAGGAAGTCCATCGATAAGAAATGGCAAATGTTCTCCTTCTTTGGGTTCTCCACCCACTGGCATGCCCAGCCACCGTGCCACTGAGCCGGCGGCTTCTTCAGCTGCTTCCGAACCATTGCTTGAAAGATCGGTGAAAAGATTCAAGAGTATTATTGATTGGCAAGCTCTGCGTGTAACTCAGTGGAGCTCTACGCTGAGCTGATCAGTGGGAACCAGAGATCTTAGAGAGAGTGGCAACGCAGGTCTTCTGATTGATAGGATGCCGTCCAGTCTCAAAAACAAACATTGAGATATATTGAGATGGAAAGCATTGATCATGGCAATGCTCTTGAACCATTCACCTGCAAGTTATGCTGAAGCAGGGCCTGAACACATACCCAAAAAAATGGTGGAAACGTATACACTTCAAATTCAAAACCTAAATTAGTTAATCTGAAAAGTGAAAAATCCAACAACTTTCTCACAATGTTATCTAAAACAAATTGCAAATTTGACAAGTTTGCAAATCTGTTGGTGCCAACAGTGCCAACCATTTTACTTAAGACCCATTTTAGATACAGTAACCCTTAAACTAAATGAGTCAAAAAAAGGGGGTTTTCCGTGGTTGATCACACTCATTTTAGATAGCCGGTAGCAACGGGGACGACTTGAGGGTACGTAAAACACAAGGATTCTTAGAGATCAGCAAACAATTGGCTTTGCCTTTAGGACCTGGATCTCCACTTGGGGGATGTCCTGTTGAGCCCCATCCACTTTGCCATCCTGATCGCCAGCCTTGGTCCCACTGCCGTCGCTTTGGGGACCTGGTCAGTCGCTGTATGACGGCTCAAATCGCCCTGCTGCGTGGTGTCATGCGATCCGCTGGGCTTCATTGAAATGGACAAACAATGCATTGTTGTCAGAATACTCAGAAGCTACAATGGTGTACAAGGCATGCGGCATCTTGCAAACAAATCATAGATGGCCTCTTTGAAACAATCTCCCAAGCCCCGAACAACAAACCATTAAAGCAAAAAAGCGATATCCAGGCTTTTGGAGAGGGTACTGTCATCCAATGCTGAGCCAACACCAACTGAAAGTTGCAGAGCGCATGGCGTGGCGCGTGGCCATGCTTACTTCTTCAAGGGCTCACTACCGGGCTCACTTCCGCTGGTGCCTCCTTTCCATCCCCGAAGAAACAAATGTGCAATACCGTGCGTGTCCAGCTCTGCCTTCTTTAATCTACCAGCACCAGAGTGTTCCTCGAACAGAAATCGCCTAGAAAGCAACCATATATTGGTGATCTGTGAAGAGAGATGAGCATCTTGAAGAAAACCCACCAGCGCTCATTGGTCCACGTCGGACTCGCCAGGGTGCATGGGTTAGGCCATCAGCATCCCCTGAGCAGCGCCAGTCATTTGTATAGGTCTTTCCATTGATCACAAGCGTTGGCTTCTGTGATATGCATCCAATTGCCAATTACGGTATGTATCGGGCCTCCCAGGCTGGTTCATTGCATATCTCTCGCAGCATGCATGGGTCAACCAGGGTTCTTGGTCGGTTTGTCCAGCCTTGGAGTGGAGGCTGAGGCACCGCTCCTTCAAAGGCCCCAACCAGACAGCCACTCACAAAACAAAACGAACCTAGGACCGGAGCAGTGAGTTTTTGATGCTTCTCAATAGGACCGGTGAGAGGGCAAGCAAAACTGCAACCAAAAGACCCAAAGCTGACGCGAAGTTGAATCTAAGGTCTGACAAACTCGTCTGGGTTGCCTCTGCAAATCCCAATGAATTCAAACGATTTCTTTCCTTCACTGTTATGTTGAAAACAAAGAGTTTCATTGAGGATTCACTTCACTACATTTCTCTGAGGTGAAAGTGTGTGACGTTGTGCTTGTCTGGATCAAACGTATGAAATCAAATGAAATAAGTCTCAAGAGGAGCAAATTGGGCTGTGGTCTTGCAAACGACCACTGCTGCGCATGGCATCATAACATCTCAAATACTGTGACTAATCTAATGGTCTAACGCTTGTTTGGTTTGGATAGGGAGCTGCAGGGTCAAACATGGCAATACCTCTTCAGTCCTGCAGTGCGTGCTCGCTTGGCGGGATTCTCCAGATTGGCCTCTCTTGCTTTCGAGGCAACAGCTTCAAGCTCTTCAATCTGCCTCGAAGAGACGAGCAGCTCTTGCGGTGTTAAATTTGGCAGAGGTCAACGCAGGATTGCCGATCAATCATCCAATATTGAAAATTGCCAAACAAAAAAAGGCTGGATTGCCAGATTATATAAGTTGCAACAAACAGCATCTACAAGCATCTGCTGGTTTTGTATCAGGACTTTCCGCCGAAGCTCTGTTGAAGGCTGGCACCGATATCCAGCAGTTTTCCTTTGGTACATCTCGAGGAGGCCACCAACGCTTCGAGGTCCGCTGCCTCGCAGATGATCGGCAAGAAACACACCGTATGGCCCATTGAATACAAGATAATACAAAATACTAGTACGCGACATGAACATCCTTGAACTTGAAACAGCTTCCTGACACTCCACTCACGCCCAAGTATCAGTGGGGCTTTGCAAACATTATTACCACCATCCTGGTCCTGGTGATACATCATCTCTGATGGCAAGAAGTTTCAGCTTGAGGAGCCAAGCTCATGTGCGTCAACCATTGATGTCTGCAATTTGAACTTCATGACATGTCTGGGCTTCGCCAAGTAGGACTAGGCACTTGTAGCAGCTGTTGTGGTGGCAGTGGCAGTGAATGCTTATGTTAACCAAGAAATGGCCTCGGCCATGGCAGCTGCAGCTACATGGCAGCGCTACGAGGCCGCAGCCAATGCAGATCTAGCAAGTCTTGTAGAAGGTCTCGCAAGCTACGTAGAATGTGTGTGCGCATGTGTGCTTGTGGCATAACAACAAAAAAACAAACAAACAAACAAATATTGACACATATCAAACAAATACATATATATATATATTACATTATATTACTATTTAATGTTATAATATCTAGAATGGCGTAAAAGGCAAAGCACGCTTTAGCAGAACATCTTTCCATCTTCACCTGACTCTTATGCTCTTATTTTCTTGTTCCTGTTGCGCTCCTGGTGTATCTCAGCATGCAGTCTTGGTGATGGTATGGTCTTGATCATTGTTCTGCCCACAATGTGCATGTTGCACTCAAAGCCATCTCCTCCAGTTGCGAAGTGGCATATGTCAAGCTTACATTCGCTGAAGCCATAGGCCCTAGGCATCCTTTACCGCTTCTAAAGCTGAATCCTAGCACCAGGATCTTGAGGCTGTCAGCAATTCTGGAACATCTTCAGTGTAGCAATAGCCTCCAACCTACTAGCGATGGCCTCCAACCTAAGAGATAGATCCTATGTTGAGGTTTTAAAAGCCAAAACAATAACAAGAGGTGCTAAGTTGTTTAGAATCATTTAAACATAAGCTGAGACAAAATGCTTGCACTGTTGCACAATTGATGGCTGTGCCAATGCACATTTAAATACTGTCTATTTGTAGGAAGAAACAGAAAGAAACCCTACAGCAGCCTGAGCAGTGAGTGCGACTTGATGATCCGCTCCCACGACCCGTAGAATAGGGAAAAGCATGGTAAAACAGCCTGGTTCCACACCATTGTCATTTTTCACTTCACCCATCCACTTGAGAAGCCAACCATCCACGCAAGAGCCACCGTCGTCACCACTGCCGTCAAAGCCGTGCTTGAAGAAGTCCTCGCGCATGGGCCGTTTCAGCCCACCTGACCTATGTTGCTCTCCAAAAGCTGGGGGGGTGATCCGAATCCCTGGACCGTCAGCCCTCTTCACGGACCTTCAGTATTGACCTAGTCATCAACAGCATTTTGGTATGGCAACACATGGTAGTCCTAGTCTTCAAGACCCTAAGTGCAGCACCGAACCCTCCGTGTCCTGCATGATTGCCATCCGTACAACCTGGAGTCTACAGGGGAAATTGCATTACAATCAGTTGATTGTAATCATACATTATATATACCGTTTATGTTTATGAATATGTGTTCACCAGAATGCTACAGTTCTTCTCCGTTTGAGCAACACTTGCTTTTTACCGAGAAGAGGACAAGCAAGGCAATGTGCTTGTTTGAGCAAAACGTCTTCAGAACCGACCGACGTGGCCTCGACGCCCCTGAACTCGCTGTCTATATAGTTCTTGATGGCCGGTGAGGAGGCATACACCTGACTGGACGAGGACATACGCTCAAACCTTCACTACCCTCGTTGGAATTCCTTCATGTCAGGATATCCTTCAAGTGTATAGTTTCTCGAGCGACCTTGTGGCCCAGGTTCCAGAACTGCGCCACAAGCCATGGCCTCTGGCAACCCCAGCCTCTGGCAACTTGTCAAGTGTTCGCACCAGTGGCCCGAGGATTCGAGGAACTTGTGTGTACCTGGTCGGCCAGTGGCCCCTGTCCTGACGGTGTGTGGGTGTATAACAACCCTCGTGGAAAATGCAATCAATATATGCAAGTACGTAAAACCAGCAATGAAACGATCAGGCGAGTGTTGTTGTAATTTCCGGTTCCATGGTGTGTCTGGATGCAAATCCGGGGCCTATTGCCGCAGCGGTGTGCAAGTCTTCTGACTTTTGTCAAGAGGAGGACAAAGTTGCAGGTCTACCAAGGGATGGGCCTGTGCTGCGCACTTGTCGATAAACACGAGGGCATTTGGGACATCTCGGTCCTGCAGTTGCTAGGCTGCACTGTTCCAGCAATCCTCTACCCACCCTAACTGAGTTTACGTGTTGCTAGAGGATACAGTTACATGCAGTGAATTTCGGCTAAGCAGCTGGCAACTCAAGCAAAAATAGAGTTGAATAAAATGTGTATGTGGGCTCTGGGGAACTTGAATTCTATTGCATAGTATTGCACATGTTTTGATCCATGAACTCTTTCTAAAACTGGCCAAGCAAAAAGTACATCGCCTCATGACTCTGCAACTGCAGTGCAGCCACCCCTCCACGAACGGTCCCCAAGGTGGACGACGCTAAGACCCACCCAGTTGCCCACTTCGCTCTGCACCTGCATTTGCACGGCAAGCAAAATACATGCGTGATCGATGGTGATCGAGCAATATGGCGAAGGCTTATGGTGCTGCTTTACTGTTTGGGTATGTTTGGGTTGTGTTCATTGTGTAGTGTATTGAGTCGTAGATCGCATTGGGTCAAACATGAGTCAAACGTTGTTCGGGGAGATTCTCTCTCTCGCTCTCGCTGTGTCTGTATCCTCGGGTTTCTTCAAAAGCTTGTTTGGGAAAAGCCAGCGGCAGGCGGCAGTACCGCTTCACGCTACTCTACACTCATCTCTACACTCCGGATCCATGGGACACCCGAAATGGATGGTCCAGCCGGTGCCTATGCCGTGTTGCATTCATAAGTGCAGTACCTTGTGGAGGATCTGATGCATAGCCCTTGACACTCGCGGTGCATGCCTCAGCACTTGTCAAGGTTAAAATGTGTTCAAAGTTGTTCCGAAAAACACTAAATATAAATCAGATCGTGGCTCCAAACCCTGGTGCCTCAATCATCAAAACAATTCAAAACGTCAAGGAGGAATCAAGTCAGTGCCCTGCATCCGCTTTCGAAGCCAAGTGCGTCGGTGCGTGCTATCGAAGCAACCACAAAAGAACCATAACATGCATCTCTAGATGGTGATCTTAGACCGCTGTGCGGTGCCGTTTGACGATGACTTCGGCGGATGTTTGCAGCAACAGAACTGTGATTCTTGGGGTGAGTGTTTCCTCGCTACAAAAGGTCGTTCCAGGAAAAAACACAACCACACAAGAACACAGAAGGTGCACAACGTGGTGGTACAGTAGCGTATATACAGACAGGTTGGAAGCAGCTTCAATCACCAAACTAGTAAAACGAAACAAGAAACCAACTGTCAAGGGCCCTTGACTACACCTTTAGAAACTTCCTCGCCGGCTGCCAGCTAGTGCTTTACGCCCTTGGGCACTGGGCATGGCTGCGCTTTTTGGTGACTATATACGCCTTGAGGCAGGGTCTTCTGGGAGAAGGAGCCGACTGCTCCATTCCCAACAGAGTAATGCAGTCTATACTCCTTTCGTGACTGATTCGCGCTTCGACATGGCTGCTACGTGGCGCAAGGGGTAGAAAGATGCGGAAGGTGGATTCACCTCGCACTTGCAAGCAATCATTTGGGCCACCGATTCCGTGTTCGCAAAGGCAAACACACGTTTGCCAGTGGACCCTGCGGATAAAAGCTTATGCTTTCCAGATCTGCCTTCGCTGTGGCCAGCACCTTTACTTGCCTGGCAATTGAACCCAATGAGACACATTCATTCCAAAGCTGCAGCTTGCATTCACATCAGCTTGCAGCTGGATCAGAGCGGGCAGTACAGTCGGGCTGCTGGAACATCTCCTCCAGCCTGCAGCACCTGAAGGTGACGTCTGCCATGCTTTGTCCCAAGGTTCGAATCATGCCGACATCCTCTGAAAGAACAGCTTTTACGAGTAGCCTCATCAATGCCACCAGAGAAGTGGAACTGCCGAACTCAGCTATATCCCCTGCCTTGGCTTGGCTCCACCTAAAATTTGATTTTCCCAGCCGTCAAATAGCGGGAAAAGGATGAAAAAAGGCCAAAAAGCCTGCCTCCCTCTCGTGGTGAAAATAGGATTCCAACCGTTTTTCGGACAAGACCCAGCACCACAAGCCTGTCCTCCTCAATGGTTCATTGGCTTTGCCACACTGCATCGCAATCAAGTGGCCAAACATTCAGCTCATGACTGCCACGAGGTGGAAAAGTTCTGAAGAAGGATGGTGAACAGATCGCACCTCTCGACGTATCCTGGAATGCTCTCAACGTAGCCATTGTATGCCATTGCAACCGCCTTCGACTTGGTCGATCAAACGGTCGAATCTTCGTTGAAACCAAATGCCTGCGAAGAACTCCCATTGGCCATCCAGAGCCAAGTGCAAAGATCCATCTATGAGGTCCGGCAACTGGTATCCTTCTGGTCTGGATGCATTCTCGAGAGCCACTGGTGTGACACAAAGAGCACGAACATGCCTGGTTTCCACTGGTGCAACAAAACCTCCTGCAACAGGAAAGAGTGAGCTTTTGGACGGCCCTTCATCTGCAAACAAGGTGAGCCCGCGGACCCAAAAGCAAAAAGAAGCGCACGACCCAGGAAAAGTAAACAAACACAAATTAGCAGGCCAAAACGAAGCATCAGCCCCCTCCAGGCTTCGTGGCAACTATGATATTTCAAGCATCGCGGTTCTGGTGCAACACAGCTCCACTCACCTCCCAACGGGCTTCCGCGAAGCATGGAGCAGCACTACCCCCACCCATGCTTCGTTCTACTTGTGCACTGACCCGGAGCAGCCTGCAATGATGCTGGTGGTGCAACCATGTGCTCGACGCAACAATCCTGCCGTTTCAGCCACGACTTGACCGTCTGTCGCGTGCATTGCGCACTTTTGGGACACCCAAGACCATCGTATAAGCCCCGCAGCTCCACTCACCTCCCAACGTGCTTCCGCGAAGCATGCAGCAGCACTACCCCCACCCATGCTTCGTTCTACTTGTGCACTGACCCGGAGCAGCCTGCAATGATGCTGGTGGTGCAACCATGTGCTCGACGCAACAATCCTGCCGTTTCAGCCACGACTTGACCGTCTGTCGCGTGCATTGCGCACTTTTGGGACACCCAAGACCATCGTATAAGCCCCGCAGCTCCACTCACCTCCCAACGTGCTTCCGCGAAGCATGCAGCAGCACTACCCCCACCCATGCTTCGTTCTACTTGTGCACTGACCCGGAGCAGCCTGCAATGATGCTGGTGGTGCAACCATGTGCTCGACGCAACAATCCTGCCGTTTCAGCCACGACTTGACCGTCTGTCGCGTGCATTGCGCACTTTTGGGACACCCAAGACCATCGTATAAGCCCCGCAGCTCCACTCACCTCCCAACGTGCTTCCGCGAAGCATGCAGCAGCACTACCCCCACCCATGCTTCGTTCTACTTGTGCACTGACCCGGAGCAGCCTGCAATGATGCTGGTGGTGCAACCATGTGCTCGACGCAACAATCCTGCCGTTTCAGCCACGACTTGACCGTCTGTCGCGTGCATTGCGCACTTTTGGGACACCCAAGACCATCGTATAAGCCCCGCAGCTCCACTCACCTCCCAACGTGCTTCCGCGAAGCATGCAGCAGCACTACCCCCACCCATGCTTCGTTCTACTTGTGCACTGACCCGGAGCAGCCTGCAATGATGCTGGTGGTGCAACCATGTGCTCGACGCAACAATCCTGCCGTTTCAGCCACGACTTGACCGTCTGTCGCGTGCATTGCGCACTTTTGGGACACCCAAGACCATCGTATAAGCCCCGCAGCTCCACTCACCTCCCAACGTGCTTCCGCGAAGCATGCAGCAGCACTACCCCCACCCATGCTTCGTTCTACTTGTGCACTGACCCGGAGCAGCCTGCAATGATGCTGGTGGTGCAACCATGTGCTCGACGCAACAATCCTGCCGTTTCAGCCACGACTTGACCGTCTGTCGCGTGCATTGCGCACTTTTGGGACACCCAAGACCATCGTATAAGCCCCGCAGCTCCACTCACCTCCCAACGTGCTTCCGCGAAGCATGCAGCAGCACTACCCCCACCCATGCTTCGTTCTACTTGTGCACTGACCCGGAGCAGCCTGCAATGATGCTGGTGGTGCAACCATGTGCTCGACGCAACAATCCTGCCGTTTCAGCCACGACTTGACCGTCTGTCGCGTGCATTGCGCACTTTTGGGACACCCAAGACCATCGTATAAGCCCCGCAGCTCCACTCACCTCCCAACGTGCTTCCGCGAAGCATGCAGCAGCACTACCCCCACCCATGCTTCGTTCTACTTGTGCACTGACCCGGAGCAGCCTGCAATGATGCTGGTGGTGCAACCATGTGCTCGACGCAACAATCCTGCCGTTTCAGCCACGACTTGACCGTCTGTCGCGTGCATTGCGCACTTTTGGGACACCCAAGACCATCGTATAAGCCCCGCAGCTCCACTCACCTCCCAACGTGCTTCCGCGAAGCATGCAGCAGCACTACCCCCACCCATGCTTCGTTCTACTTGTGCACTGACCCGGAGCAGCCTGCAATGATGCTGGTGGTGCAACCATGTGCTCGACGCAACAATCCTGCCGTTTCAGCCACGACTTGACCGTCTGTCGCGTGCATTGCGCACTTTTGGGACACCCAAGACCATCGTATAAGCCCCGCAGCTCCACTCACCTCCCAACGTGCTTCCGCGAAGCATGCAGCAGCACTACCCCCACCCATGCTTCGTTCTACTTGTGCACTGACCCGGAGCAGCCTGCAATGATGCTGGTGGTGCAACCATGTGCTCGACGCAACAATCCTGCCGTTTCAGCCACGACTTGACCGTCTGTCGCGTGCATTGCGCACTTTTGGGACACCCAAGACCATCGTATAAGCCCCGCAGCTCCACTCACCTCCCAACGTGCTTCCGCGAAGCATGCAGCAGCACTACCCCCACCCATGCTTCGTTCTACTTGTGCACTGACCCGGAGCAGCCTGCAATGATGCTTGTGGTGCAACCATGTCCTCGTAACTAGCATATCAGCCGCGCAAGCGTCCACACCCATGCACTCCCCAGCCCCGTCCACACCCAAGCCACGCCGTCTCACTCCCCTCCATCTTCCCTCCCCAGCCCCGTCCACACCCATGTGCGCCTCCCACTCCCTTCCTTCTTCCCTCCCCACCCATGCGCCTCCCGTCTCGCTCCCCTCCATCTTCATGCGCCCCCCGTCTCGCTCCCCTCCATCTTCCCTCCCAGCCCCGACCCCACGCGCCTCCCGTCCCACCCACGCGCCTTCCGTCGCGCTCCCCTCCACCCATGCACCTCCATCTTCCATCCCCAGCCCCGTCGCCTCCCGTCTCGCTCCCCTCCATCTTCCCTCCCCAGCCCCTGGCGTACTTCTAGGGCTCCGTCCGACTCTGGATCCCCAGTTTGGGCCACGTGTGGCGTTGGGTGGGTGGCAGTTCCGTCTTTCGTCGGGTTGGCTTTTGGATGTATCATATACCTGGAACCTGAGTGACCCCTGTTTTGGAGGATCAACTATCCCAAATATTGCCTTTCCTGTCAAAAAAAAGGCATGCCCCTCCCGTCTCGCTCCCGTCTCGCTCCCCTCCATCTTCTCGTCCCCACCCATGCCCCTCCCGTCTCGCTCCCCTTCATCTGTTCCCTCCCCAACCCCGTCCCCACCCGTCCGCCTCCCGTCTCGCTCCCCTCCCTTCCTTCCCCTCCCTTCCTTCCCCTCCCTTCCTTCCCCTCCCTCTTCCTTCCCTTCCCTCTTCCCTTCCCAACCCCGTCCACCTCCACCTCCATCTTCCGTCCCCGACAACGTAAGCTTTTCCTCGCTCTCCCCCTGCACTAGCGACTAAACGAGAACCCAAGCATCGGAGATGCTTTTGGGAAAAACAGAACCCTCACAACGCACATGGGGAGAGAATCTCATGCATCCTTCCTTCGGAACAGGAGTTCCACCACATACAAGTATCTGATTCCCCATCGGCCTTTACTATTTTTGACGCAGGTTCGATAAGTTTGTCCTTGTCTCAACGCTTTAGCAACAATGTTATCAAATAACATGAGGCTGTCTCAAAATCCAATTGCTGAACCTCACTGACCCTGAAGAGCTACCGTGTGAGTGTGCCGAAATTCAAAAAACTTGGTAGGCGCGCCTGGAGCGCGGCGCGTTCACTATGTTTCAAATTATTGTGTGGTAATTTCCAGTGCTTTGTGTGTTGTTTCATTTCAGCGGCTCTTGACGAGTTTCTTCAAGTTTGTGTGTGTGTGTTGTTTTGCATGTAGCTTGATGTTAGATGCACTTGCAATCGAATGTCATGAACCCCCCACCCAACCCATATCTATACGTCGTTGATAATGTTGTCAGTGCAACCAACGACAACAAAAAGTTTGCCAAAAAAACACTTATATATATATATACGCATTAAACATCATTAAGCCCACCAAAAAATATTTTGCAGAGTTAACGCTCTCCCCAGTGGCCCTGCGGGTACTTCTTACTTCCACGCCTCATAGAATGTGCAAAAATAAAAGCAGCACAACAGTCGCGCTCTTCGACAGCTTGGGCCAGGCCAGTACGTCCTCTCTACAGGTCGCCACTTCAAGATCAGAATGAAAATCCCGAGTTGTGAGAATGTGGTCTTTGCCGGATTCGTCAAGCAGCCTTGTTCCTGCATTGGACCATTGATGGACTGCGTCCATTTCCTTCAGATTCCATGCTCTCAAGGCGTCTTTTTACAGAATCGGAATGCTTCTCTGACTTTCTTAAGGTGTTTCTTCGATTGTCACAAGGAACGGCCACGATTTGGAATTTCAATGCCCAAGGTGTTTTGATCAAAGCCACTTTCCAAACAACAACTACAACTACAACTACAACAAAACAACGTCATTTCTTTATTTGTGAGCATTTGTAACTTCTTTGTCTAGTGCCGTCCTGCACCAGATTGGGCTACCCCGGCTGGACTCGATTAAGCCCCTGCCCCGTGTCACAGAGTCGATACCTGGCCAACGCGGAGGATGGATGACCATGTGCAGCGCGACTCCGCATGATGGGTGTAGAAGCTAGAAGCAGCAAGGGCGGCCAGTGTCTCAAAAGTTCTTTCACTTTCACTACTCGCGACGAAACGACACTTGCAAAAGAGTGCGAGGCATACCTTAGCTTTTCCACCCCATTGATAAGCTGAGCAGCTGAACCAACTTGTTTGCTGCTTCCCAACCAATGTGTCAAGTGTCTTGCACATAGATGATGATTGCGTCCAGCAATGTTGGCCACGGTAACCTTGTAAACACCATCGCTACTAGGTTGGAGGTCATCGCTATTAGGGTGGAGGCCATCGCTATTACTATTAGGAATATGGAAACAAGGAAAGCATGGAGTGGCAGCTCTTGTGGGTCACGTGGAATCCGCGTCGAGCAAGTCCTCCTCTGTCATCTGCCACAAGTAGAACCTTGGATGTGCAAACCTGCATACTTACACTGGCAAATACCAAGATACGCACATACTGTATCATACCTATACTCTATTATATTATACAAATGCAGATTAAGATACCCGGACACAACATAGCAACAAAAAAACAGGTAAGCATCAGTTTACAGTAGTCCTAATGGCGTTACTCCGAGGTTTTCTACAATGCTTGTACCATCTTGTACCTATGACCTATGCGGTACTAGCACTGCTGGAATGAACGATCTACTGTAGTGCAGCTTGCATTGGCATTGGACAACCCATCAGTATCTCCTCACTGCAAACACTCCTTCGTGTCGACATCGAGTACTACCTGGACCAGCCAAGAAAAGGTCCTCTGAGCAAGTCACATGTTGCCCATGATCTCCCGCCATAAGAGTAGGCTCTGCAACACGAATGTGTACCTTGACCAGGGAGACATAGCGAGATAAGTTCAGGTGTTGTGAACTACTTGCAGTGGCCTCTCAATGTGACATACATCACTGTGCAGCGCAGCGCTTCCAGGCTCAGCCAGCTCGCCCGGCAGGATGTTCACTGGTCGCTGGGAGCTACTCACACGTTTCAGTTAGTAACTGGCGATGTTGAGACGGTGTAGACCCGTGTCACTACTAGGTTAGTATTGGGGTATGAGACGGTGTAGACCCTGTAAAAGGAGGACACAAACATGACAGTGTCCGAAGGTCCGGGTCATCTACCACCGAAGCCCACCGCTGGTTCGTTCGCCGTCCCCTTCGCGCACTGGGTCTTGTGGGTGTGCGACAAGCATGAGCCGCCACGGCCTCTGGAGATGTCCAAACCTCAGTGCCACGCTAGCCTAGCCTGGATGCATCTAGAACCCACTTGAAGCAGCTGCTCTTAGAAGAGAATCAAACCAACCGTTTGCAATTTGCAATGATCTCAGGACACGAATCAAATCTTTGTCCTGCTACCGTTAAAACTGCAGGTTAAACTCAGGTGTCGGGCTCCATTTACCAGGTTCCTTGGGGTCGAAGTATTGCCTGAGAAACCTCAGCCATGCTGCAGCCGCGTCAAGTGTCTTGAAACTGATCATAGCCAGTAGGGCAGGGCTCACTGACTTTGAGTAGAGAAAATTTGGAGAATTCGTTCATGAAAGAATTGGCCATTGAATGGGCACTTAGGTTGGAGGCCATCGCCGTCGCTATTAGGTTGGAGGCCATCGCTAGTAGTTTGGAGGCCATCGCTAGTAGGTTTGGAGGCCATCGCTCTCAGGGTTGGAGGCCATCGTTACAGTATTAGGTTGGAGACCATTGCTATTAGGACGAAGGCCATCGCTTTGAGGGTGGAGGTCATCTTGTGATGTATTCTGCTGTCGCAAATCGTATCTGTCATCCTCAAATTGGTTCAAACTGACTGGCACCCAGTCCAGAGATGCAAGCGTACAAGAAGCCTCCTCTAGCTGGCAAGGCAATCAAAAGTGAAAGCCAACTTAAGCCAACCTGATCTGGTCTTGGACGAGATACTCAATCATCCTCTCCACAGGCTCTCTGTTGAACCTGACCAAGGTCGATGCTTGCAGAACCCCCAAGTCGGTTCTTCTTCTGCAAAATCAACAAGTGTCAGTGGCCAAAAACAAATGCATCTTGACTGCTGTCTGAGACTTGAGCGCAAGGAGATCTATCTATATTATAGATATTTATATATATATAGTTATATTTATATATAATCTGCACACAGCGGCCAGATTGTTTGCAACTGGGGCCTCTCTCCCATTTCTTGGTCAGTCCGTTCATGTCCATTCACTCACCTATCTCTGAGAACACGAGCATCACCAATCCGCCCAAACCAGCGCCCCAAAACAAGGCCATTCTTCCCGATTCTTCCCCGGCTTCGAAAGGGCAGAAGACGCCGGTGCCGTGGTGGCGCAACCTAATAGCAATGGCCTCCAACCTAATAGCGACCTAAGGGCGATGGCCTCCAACCTACTAGAACCTAGAAGCGATGGCCTCCAACTAGCGGCCTCCAACCTAGAAGCAATGGCTCGCCTCAAAAAGGCAAAATAGTCGCTGATGGAGGCCACGATGGTTTCAATCCGCTCCTGGTGACCGTCTTTCGACAACACCAACGAATCCAACAATCGGTGGGCGCTGACCAGCCGTCACAGCCTCCTACAGTAGAGACCGTGCCATTGGTCGGTCCTCCGTCAAGAGCCCCTCCACCTCAGGCCTGGTGCACGTCTGAACTTTCGTCAGTGTGGCCGGCACAAAAGATTCTGAATGCACCAACAACATCCAACAACCAATCTTTTGCATAGCACCAGCTTGGCAGCTTGGCTCTATCCTCCAGACCAGGTCTCTGAACAAAGCTTGAAGGGGAGTTTCTACAGGTCCACCCGCTGTCCACCGCCATTCCACCGGTCCATTTCCTCCTGCCTTTTCGGACCACCACGAAGAGCTTCTGCTAGATCACCCGCAGGCTGGACAGTGACGAAGCCAAGCAGGTGAAAAGGATGAGAGGTCCACAATGGTAAGTTGCACATGCATACGTGTATTTATTGCTGCAGCAACCGTCTGGACTATACTGTACGGAGGTGGTGGAAAACGACGTTGTGGGATAGAACACCGTGCCTTTGGGGGAGCTGTGCCTTCCGGAGGCTTCTCAGCATACCTGGAGTCTGGGACTCAATTGCTTCACAGGACAGTTTCAGACAGAAAAACATGTTGGGAACCCCAAGACATCCTTCCTTCTTCTCCAGAAGTTGCTGGATTTGCTTCCTTTACAAGCTTCCCATAGCTTCCCAAATCTCAGCTTTCTCTTCGGGTGTTTGAGCTTCTTTGGTTATCAAGTATCAAGTTATCTTTATTAAGGCATTGTGTGGCATTGTCTTTGTGATCTCCACCTTCCTATCTTGCCGGGTCGCTTGTGCTTCAGCTCCACCAAGGCTTCTGCTTTGTCTTTGCTTTCTTGCGCAACCTCTCATTCAGGGACCAAAAAGGAGGGCAGGACAGAATGAAGAGTCTAGCATGAATATCCCAACGAAACGCTGAATCTCTGACTCATTGCATTTAGCCAAGAATACAGCCAGCGGCCAGCAAATTGGACCCCGTTTACCTTGAAACGAAACTTGTTTTAGGCGGAGACTCTGAGCTGTGCCACGCAATGCTTTTGCAACAACAAAGCGCTGCGGAAGCACTGACACTGGCACGGAACATTGGGACTGCACACAGGAATCAGGCCCGGCAAGAATCAAACATGTTTCCTAGCGAACAGACTGCCAACCAAGTGGAACCAGTGTCCCCTCACCATGGTGGGTGAGCGCCTCAGCTCGTGACTTCCCATCGGTGTAGATCTCTTTGGTGGCAATGGTCAGCAAAGGATCCTCCCATCGAGCTGCTGCTCGGGCGCCGAGGTAAACATTAAAAAAAAGGCGAAACATCGAGGACCCATGTGACTCAGTATGAAGACTTCTCAAGACACAAAAGGGATCAAAAGGGTTGGCTTGATCCAAAACCAAAGCAGGAAATACCTTGCAAAATTGTCAGATTAAGCACAAAGCTTCGCCAGCAGCAACAACATGTAACAACCAACAACAGATCCTGGGATTTAAGCCTTTAAGCTCTTGAAACTTGAAAACCGCTTAAGAATCTTAGCATTCGCTGACCAAGCTCGTTTCACCGCTTGGGGAGTCAGTACCACACGGAAAAAACCTCTGAGGGTCGCAGCCGCCTGAGTCAGAAGGAACCTCCGAGGGTCGCACCTGGAGCATTTGCACCGCCCGGCCATTGCCTTTCACCACCGTCCACACCGTCTTCACAGAACCCACACCTGAGCTCAACAGGTGCTTCGGCGAGCCGAACGTCTGACGGAAGGGGTCAGGGACTTCAAAAACGAGCGACGAAATCAAGGGCACCCTCTCTTTTTTGCTTGGCTTTAATGTCGGACGCTGATTAGTAATAGGGTCCTCTATAATGCTATTAGATTCTTTCGGATGGTTTCAGTCAAGAACTCATCAGAACTCTAGACGGATTGGCTCCTTCAAGTCTTGTGGGTGAAAAAAGTGGCCTTGGAGGCAGCTGATCCAGCATTCCTAAAGAGGGTCCTTTCGCCGTTCCAATGCCAAAGACAAAGGCCGAACATGGCCGAACATCCAACACCCAACACCCTGAATCGGCCCATCTGGTCCAAGGTATGGACAATCAAACTCCAATTGTCGGACCACTTCTCCCTGCAAACGAATGCGAGCGAGAATGCACGCGTCCAATTTGTGAGATCGAATCTATTCCCAATGTGGGTGTGGTTACAATATGATCAATATGTTACAATCACCAATCAACTGGCAAGGTTTGAAAGTGAACTGCAGATCTTGTCGACATCTGGCAATGGGATAACTTCAAACGAAACTCTGTACATCCTAATATACAGTAACTATTTCTTCCCTTGGAAACCTTACAGTAGGTCTCCTCTTCCTCAAGTCTTCAACAAAATGGCTCTCGGATGCTCTCGGCATTAGACAAATGGTGGTTGCCTTGATCTTGTGCCAGAAGCCGAGTCATTTTGGCAAGGCAAATTCAGCGGTTTTGACTGGTGCAACGTCTACAAGTAGAGAGATCACGGTGACGAGCCTTCACACTGTCCTGCAGCATGTGGATGAGCCTCAGTTCTGCAGTCTTGACCTTCCACCACTTGACTTAAGACATCTTGAGACAAAATATTGCAAACAGGCATCTGTCATGATGGACTCCGGAGCTTCCGGTGATCATGGCCGGTCACTTTGCACCGAATTACACATGAGACAGATGTAGACTCTCAGCCATTGGCTTCCCGTAACTTCCTCGTAGCTTGTCTGGATTCAAGATCTTGTACCTGTCACAGTTGTCTCCTTATGTCTTCTTTCCTTCGTGGGGCCTTGGTCCTGAAGCATAACTGCTCTGCTTTTGAACATCCAGTTGCAGTGAACAAGGATTGGCTGTGCCAATCCAACACAAGTCTGCTGCTGTGTGCGTGATCTGCCAATCCACTCCAGCTGCCCCAGCCTTCTGCCGATCTCGAAGACCATCCGGAAGAAGTAGTTGTTGTCAGCTGAAGGAGGGGCTTGCTAGCATTTCTTTGCACATGCAACACAGTATGCAGTATGATACTGATAAACCGTGCTCACCAAGCATGCCACACCTAAAACCTAATCAGGATAGCAGCCTCAAGTAAGTACTGAGGCTTTATGACAAGCGGCATGCCTACATGCCAGGACCTTTCACTGCAAGTGTCTTACTGCCGCCCTTTGTTGGGAGCCTTGGGAGTTCTTTTTTTGCCGAGCATCCGAAGCTGCGTTCCATCAGCGGCCGCCGTGCCACGTCAAAGTTGTTGGCAACTACAAGGCCAGCCAAAATGGCACACACCTACAGGCTGACTGGTGGTTCAATGGTATGTTGCCAATTCAGGAACATGTTGTGAGACAAGCTTACCCAGCTTACGCAGAATAAACAGTTGGAGTTTCACAAGGTAGCAGTCGAAATATTCTACATGGCAACCAATTCTCAAACCGTGCTGTATACTCACGATGTTCATGCCACTTTAATCCAAAGGTAGTAGTGGTTCGCACATTGCTTGATGCAAGTTGCACATGTGAGCAACATGTTGGGTCAACGGGGGGGGTTAGCCCCGCCCGTAACATGTGGTCTGGTTTTTTCGGGTTGGGGGGGGGGGTGGGGTCAGTTTCATCCTGGTTACGACTCGCGTACATCGTCTACGTACTTCATTGGTCCACCCGGTTCCTTGTAGGTTCGCTCGGTCACGATTCGTTCGCTGGACGACCCGCTTGTCTGGGACCCATGCTGCTCGAGAAACAGAGCAAAGTTACGGTCGTTGGTGGAGACCAAGGTACAGAAAGCTTGGCAGCAGTGATGAAAAAATCACTGCGTAGAATGGGTTTGCTTGGCCGTTGCGACGCGAAGCTCAACGCCAGCACGTTGAAGGCCTCGCAGCGTTGTGGTTCAGCCAACATCCTGGGTTGGACGCAATGCTCGAGGCTGTCTGGATACATAGAGAAGCTGTGCAAGACACTTGTCCGCCAGCTGCCATGTATACTGAGCTGAAATGGCTCCACTGGGACCAAGACTAATGCCTAGCAGGTGGAAAATCACTTTCGCGCCATGGACAAGGAGCAGGCGGGTCGGTGAATACGTCCGTCAAAATGCATTCAACTTGTCGTCTTGCAACTCATGAGTTGCAAGACGATAAGTTGAGTGTCCGGAAAGCCACTTTAACCTGTAAAAAACAAGGTTTTTTGACCCTCGGTGCTTTGCGTCCGGGGCTAACCCCCCCGTTTACCCAACATGTTGAAGAGGGTGAATCAAATATCACCAACGCTGCAGCCTGCTGGATTTGGAGTGCCATTCGTCTAGCTTTGCTGCCAGCATGGTAGACGTCAACTTGGTCGGTGTACCTGGAAGCACCAGTCAGACTGGGTGGATGCTGCGTATGTCAATGTGTTCGATGTTGTTCAATCATGTAAAGCTGACAGCAGAAAGCCGTGGGGGACTCATTTAAACAAGGATGATCAACATCCCACTATGATGCCTTGTGGATGTTTTTGATGCCTTGTTCAGGTTGAAACAGTTCAGTCTCATTGCAATTGTATCAATCACAAAAGGAAAAAAAGAGAAGCCACAGTGATATAGGCAATATATAGATATATATATACTATATAGGATAAATATCGGCGGATATTGGAGGCATTGCACCAGCACGTTCTTTTTCACAGCAACTACCGCATGCTGTCGCATCGACTACACCCTCATCCGTCAAATGAAGATTCGAGTCGATCTCCCCAATGTTGAGCATTCCCCCCCTGCCCCTCTGCTTCTGCCCTCTGTACAGTGCAAGGGCAATCCACAGCTGAGCATGTTGGACGCTGCACGTGCTTGAATTGAAGAAAGCAACGCGTTCCAACTTCCAAACGCTGTATCCACAAATCACTTCAAGTCGGATATCAGGGTCTCTGAGCTCTTCAAGTCAAACTGGAGTGGACATTGTCATCTCTTGGTGCAATGAGGAGACTCTCGCTAGCTAGCTGATGTTCACAAAAGCAACTAGCTCACCACAGCCATGCAACCGTCGCTGAATGCTCAGCTACCTTTGGCCCCAAATCAGCTGCCCAGAAGCGAAGCCCGGTGCTTTTGTCGCTCCTGATTGGACGTCTGGTACCATCATGGGACTCGAATGCCTACAGTATATAAGGTGCCTATTTCATGTGATTCATCAGGTCTTGTGAGCTTCTGCTTGCAACAACTTCTGCTAGAATTCTCAACTTCAACTTCACCGTCGATGAATGCCTCAATGAATCTTAATGATGAATGAATCATTATCCTGATCCTGAAATCCTTCGACGCCTCATATAATCTATATGATCGATATCTTTAGTCGATCTTCGAGAGAAATCATTTCAAAATTTATGGCATCCTTTCTGGGTCCTTGAGACGTGCCAAAAGCTCAGCACCTGAGCTCCATGCAGCTTGTAGGCCGTGTAAAACGTCCCATGAGTTATAAGATGTCAGAAGTCTATGCCATTTCAAGGAAGCTTCACCTCGTTTTCGACACGCAGGTGCTGCGATTCGCAGAACATGGTCCTATTTCCCCTCGGAACTTCGGCTGACTTGCTGTCACCCAGTTTGAGAAAGCAACAACATCTTGATGGACCGGGAAGTAATTGTCAACTTTTGCATCTCGCAAGCCAATTTCGAGCAATTCTACTTGGTTTGGATACAAGTTCACGGCGACGATCCTGATGAATGAAGAACAAGTACACTCCGTTGCCCATCAAATGATTTATATACTGTATGCAATCTCATACACCTCCCTTCTCAAAGCATCTCAAAGCGGTATCCCAAAACTGCCAAACGAAAGCCTTGTCTTCCGGAGTCTTCGTGGCTCACTCATTCCGCACAGACCAAGCGATCCCCACTGGTCTCTTCCCCCTTCGGCTTCTTGACAGGCGTGGGCTCCTTAGAACTTCCAGCGTTCGTAGGTCCATAATGTCCACGAGTAGCTATAGCTGTAGGATGTTGTAGGTCAAGTATACTGAAGTTCACCCAAGAACTCTTGGCAAATCCACCATCCTGCGATCTGAACTCAAAGACCCGAAAACTCATTATATACCTCAATATGGCTTTCTCCAAGAAGCGTGCTGCCAACGGCTTTTGGTTGTCTCAAACGGAACGGCCAAAGACTTCTTGGTGTCCATGCCGCTCAGCATGTGTGAGAACCAAATAGAATTGCCAAGCTGAGGCACTAGTGACCATTAGTGACCTACAATGAATGCTTGAGATTCAGTATCAACCAAAAAGCACACCCGGATACTGTACACATCGTCATGTAGACTGTATGGACACCCACAACCTTAGGATGAAGCAAATTGCCCCAAGTCAGGCACCAGACTATCATCCAAGCTGAAATCATCCAAGTATGTTTGTCTCCCAGGTCTGGGGTCTCTCGGTCTCTCAGGTCCTCATCATCTTCGTCCGGCTCCATGGGTTCATCTTCCTGCTCGAGACCGTCACCCGCACGGACCAGCTGGCAATGGCCGTCCCCTTTCGCAGCTGTGGCTTTCCCAGACCACGAGAACGTAAAAAGAGAAAACCAATATAATATAGAGGCTAGCATGGGCTATGATTATGATGCTTTTATAGGTGTAGGTACAGCACAGGTCATTAGAAAGCAACTGACACAAACGTTTGGGTGGTCCCGGCGGCCTTCGCGCCTTTGGCCTTCGGCTTGGCCCGCGATTTGGTCCGCTTGCCAGACCTGACCCAAAACATGTGCAAAAATGCTTGCCTCCAAATGATTCTCCAGATCGGTCTGCATTCCATAAATGTAATGCTGCCTTTGCAAATGACAAAAAGCGTGATTAAACTCCTGCTTGTGGAATGATTCGATGTAAATCCCAATTACATCTCAAACGCTGATTCTTAGGCCCTCCTTAATCGACCTTCTTCTTTCTTCATTTCATCCTGGTGCAGCTGAAGTTTTGCAAAAAAGCTGAACGCATGCTGCTACCCCAACACACGTGCGGAGCACTTGAAGGCAAGCTTGAAAGGGCACAGGCTCCTCCTCTTCATCCATGCGGTCGAGCTCAGCCACGACCACATCAAGATCCTTTTCCCAAAGAGCCTTCGGCTTGGAGAAATCGGATCGAGGACAAACTGAGCATCTTGTTCGACCGCAACAGGTTGGATTCAGTGGGTTAAAAGCATCATGACTGTAGAGAGTGGAGACGTTTTGATGGGTAGATCAAGCGCAGCTGCTTCGGCTGTAGAGACGTGATCGCTATATAGAAGTAATGATTCCGTTCGAGTATCATTCAAGTATATTTTCCATTCCCTTCTGCTTTCTGCTGTTTGCTGTTTGGATTGTCTTGCAGATGAGTATGTGCAGTTCGTATTCTTGCTTTACCTAATATAATATATAGTTATAATCCAGTAATATCATGTGGGCTGTCGTAAGATGTCATGAGATGCATGGTTGCTGGATCTGGGAACCGCTCATTCACCGCATTGGAATGATCTGGATTGCAAATGCTTTCCCAGTGATAAGAGTCGAATTCCTTTGAGAGCGAATTCGTGATTGAACACTGCAGTTCCTTGAAGCTATGCCTGCGATCCCCAAAACGTTTGAACTCAATGGATCTCAGCACCTCTTCAGGTGCACAGCTGACGGGCGCCTCGGGCGTGGAGTTCTGCAAGTCGGTGAGCTCGGCGGTTTTCTCCTTGAGCTGTTTCCTGGGAAGGGAAGAGAAACAAAATATCAAAATTAAGACACCAAACATGGATTGAACTTCTACCAGAGCTAGAATCTGAATCCATCCTAACTTCCCATGCCAAGTCGTAGATCTAGGTCCATTTTACAGCCACGAAGGGCATCGAAGCGACTGCACATCGATGACTCTGCACAAACACGCGCATCTTGTGGATCCCTCCAAAAATTGCTCCTCTTGGGAGTGGCATTTTGGGTCACCAATTGGGTGGTCTTTGCGGATGCATAATATGGTTGCTTGAAAGCATGTGC